ATGAATCTTTTTGCCAATAGGTAGTCATATCTACAGTGGAGGTAATACCACCATCCCCCCTTCCCTCATTTAAATAAACATACAGATCCAAAATTCCACACCCCCTTAATACCGTAAAAATGCTGAGACTTCATTTTGCTGTCACTGAGAGGGAGCTTCAGACAATGATAATGCTGCTTTGGGTCCCTACTCTCTTTAAGTTAGTATAATTTAACCATGAATTCATATATTTATCCTTCACAAATATTCTCATGTTTGCTAATAAATTTGCTCTACTGTACTTACAACTATGAATCTTGTTACTTTTCAAGTAAAACTGTAGTAATCAATCAATCAAGAAGATTGATGTTTATTCTTGAAAAATGACCACAGAATGAAAGTTTCCAGTGCAACAGTATATTTACAGTAATTCAACAGTCTGTTAGAAAATTTGCAATATGAACAAATGATACTCATTAATAGAACTCCGTTTAACCTGTTTCATACATACATAGTCGTTGTGTTCTGTTCACAAATAACAGAGTGAAGTTGCTGCCTGAACTACGTGTTGCTTTCCATTTTAGTTCCCATTCTGCTGCAAAAATTGTCCCCCTAACATGTGTCAAACAGGGTCAAAAGACAAAGCTTCTTCATTCAAACTGTAGACATTGTTTTCAAGTTCAGTTCAGTTATGTAATGGTAATGTACACCATTCCTCAAATAAAAGCATAGCCAGGTATTCTTCTATAAATGTTGTGGAAAGATCTTTGTAATACTGTAGTTTTTTTTTTTCTTTTTTCTTCAACATAATGTTTCTTCATCATAATTTTATTACCTAAGAGTACAATGGTGATTGGAACCTTATGGTATTAAAAAATATTCCAACAAAGAACAAAAGAGCATCTCTATCCCCTGTATGTATGTAGTATGCAAGAATGACAAAAACAGCAAACAGCTACAGAAAAGCAGGTAGGTATGACCATGACATTACAAGGTTTCCTCTAAGGAAAGAAGCTCCCTCTGTGGGCTTACAAGAAATTCTATAAGAATTTATTTTACTATTTGTTTATAGAGTGAGCAGAAATCAACAATCTCAGATGAAATTCTGGCCTTGCTGACAAAATTCCCACTGTTAAATCTTAGATTTTATTCCTGATGCTCAACAAGCATGTGCTGTTCGAGTGCACAGAAACACCACAACAACTTCATAGAGTCTTGAAAAGTGTTCTCGGGTATTGAAATGTTCCATTCTATTTTTCAATTCTAGCATTGGCCTCTCACCTATATTCAATCTGCTTGAAAAATTTCAAGTGAAGTGTAATTTTTAAGAGTTGTTTAGCAGGGAGTTGTGTAAAGAGCACAGTCGGACAGCTTTCTAGGAAAATAATCTTTGGCTGAGGAAAGAAAAATAGTTTGGTCAAAGGATGTTGACTTCAAGTTGCCAGTGGAAGTGTGGTAAGATGCTTTTAATCCTCACAGCTCAGTTAAACCCAGTTGAAGGTGGAGAGGATTTTCATGATGAACAAGATCAGTGGTCTGGATAGTTTGGGGGGGATCTATATGTTGGATCACAGGAAGACAACTGCTTCCCCAAGCACTAAGGACCTAGCATACAAAAGTTTGCTATCCCCAGGGGAGCAAATGAGCAAAGTCTGATCCTGTGTATTTGCATGATTAGTTTATGAGGATGAGTCACCTCCTCAGATCTCGACTCACTGTGTATGCAACTCTTTTTTTCTTTTGCAGTTTTCCTTTCATGTTAGGCAAGTTTCTCTGCTGTGTTTAATAAAATGATTATAAATAGATTGACCATCATTACAGAGTTGACAGTTTTGTTTATCACAATTTTAAACTTCTTTGTTAATTTCTTTGAACTTTTCAGTTTCTCTTCATATAGAAACTACCCCTCATGTTACTTCATTTTCTACTTTCATGATACTTTTCTAGTTCTGTTATCTTTTTTTTTTCTCTTTGTTTGTGTGTACAGCACTGAAGCCTCATGGGTTCGTAAAGCCTTAAATCAGTTTGCCATGGTCTCCTACACAGCCAAAACAGGGAACTGATCTGAGATAAAAATTAAAACAAGTTTTGACTCAGAATCAAACTTATTTGGAAAGACTGCAGTGACAGTACAGTGTCTTGCAGTTTAGAACATTTAAGGTCATTCTGAGATAATAATTTTTTCTGCTTCAGCCTAAAATTAATTATTTTTCTTTTCTTGTGAAGAGGAACAAGAACTAATCCTAGATGGACTGATACCATCACTTTACTTCTAGAAAAAAAAAAGATCATGGTGAAGTGCACTTCCCTCTCTCATGAAATACAAATGATTACCCGGCAGGAGAGGACTCTGTACAGAGGTATTTCATCAACCTGTTAATTAAGTAGTGGAAGGAATTAAAAGATACTGCAGATGCTCGCTCTCCCTCTCATTCAGAGGTTATGTACACTTTCTTGTTCTCTCTATCTCCCTTCTTTGCCAAAAATTTCGTATGTCCAGAGAGTGGTCAAGAGTGAGTCAAGATAATGGCAAGCAGAGTGAACTATATACTCAGTAATGTTTACCTGCCAACCTGACACTTTTAACTGAGTTTGAAGCAATCCCCTACAACTTCCCCAATCTGATGTTGCTAATGATTCCTGAGAAACAGAAAATGAAGCTAAAGAAAGTAGACTACCAATGTTCTCACTGTCCAAGAGGGAAACATGCCCAGTTTAGAAAGGGCATTAATGGTGAAAACTCAATCCAGTCTCAGCAGTTCTTTGTAACAAGTAACACACTACTTTGCAAGGCAATTTAGTATGCAAAAATATGCTGAGTGAAAATCAGGAGCTTGATGCTATTTGTGCAAATACAGTACACATTTGAATTATTGTGGGACTGCAGCCAGGTCACTTGGGAGCAAGTACGCAAACCTCATGTTCAGCCTCCTGGCAGAGAGCACTCATGCCAGAATCATGATTAATCCCAGCAAAGGAGGGTGTTTATGGGGTGTCACAATACTGGCTGAGCTGCCCCTTATGGATGCATACCAGGCAGCTGTGTTTGGACCCACACACTGGGTTCATGTGCTTCTCCATTCCCCCAGGCCTGGCAGGCTCCAAGCACTGTCTGTTGCCCTGGCCTGTCAGGCGTGCTTCCCATACACAGTTTTACGATGGTGCCTGCTGTTGCCTCCTCTTTCAGCCCTCTTTTTGATACCACTGATAAACTGCAGAGATTATAAAGGGTTATTTGTGTACTGCTTGCATTCAGATGATTGGCTTAATAACAGGAATAGAAATCAGAACAAGTATCTGCATACAGTTTTCTTCGTCTTGGACCCTGGAGCATTTTTTAGGTTTTTGACAGTGCCAGAGCAACTCCAGGTCCCTCCTCATGTATGCTAGTGCTCCAGCTTAGCTTTCTTTTCTTGACTTATAGGCTTATCTCTAACTCCTCCAAGAAACTCCCTTCATTTTTCAGAGATGAAGTCAAAGGACTGTCTGGCTTAAGACTGTTCCTTTTTAGTATGTTTCTTCCTGATTCTCTTCTATTTTGTCTATTTTTTTGCTTTGACTTCATTCTGGCACCTTTGACAAACAGGTGTATAGTTAACCTTCTCTGCTTTAAACTCCATCCATCTTACTTTCACTAAAGTGATTCAACTTGAATGGAAGATCATTTCCATTAAGGATTTATAACTATACCTGTTGTGCTTCTTCAGCTTCAATTCAGGAAATACCTCAACTACTCTATGTTAGGAAAGGTTTATTACTGTTTGCTTAGAGAAATTTCACAAATTATGAGCAGTCAGGGGCATGAATTTCTGTCCTAGTCCATGTCCTAGTCTGTGATCAGTCCTTTCATTCTGGAGTCTTGGGAGCTTAAAACTATGAGTTCATTGTTTTGGAAATCTGTATTAGTTCATAGTACAGAAAATATTTGTATTGTGGGACACCTGATCCTTTGATAAGTTTATTGCTGACTTTTCTTCTTATTTCATACCTTACAGAGCATAGTCTTTATTTTGTAGCTGCTTAAGATTTACAAGTTTAGCTTTGTATTTAAAAAGATGCAGTGGGTTAAGAAATTTGACTACATTTTGTTCTTTCTTTCTATATGCAATTCACTAAAACTCAATTCACACACCAAAACAGTTCATATGCGGTTTTCAAAATTCATATCTAATTTTAGGATCTAAGGCCTACTTGGATATCACTTAAACACACAGAGCCTAGGATTTGTGTAACTTTGTGTAACTGTGTAACTATTCTCTTCATCTGTAGCTCCAGCAGTGCATCAAGTTATAACTAAGCACATGAGTGAGCAAGCATCAGTGCATAAAAGAGTGTTAAAGTTCACTCATCGTGTTCTTATCTTTGGAGTAGAACTTGAGAAAGTGAATCAGCTTTTACAAACCTCTGATCTTTGTAAGCCAGTTAAATAGCAATGTCAGCTCCTATGTAGAAGATGGTGATGAAACTGATTCTACACCTGGAAACTATTCATTTCTTTGTTTTTGTGGAAACCCTTTTCTTGACTTTGTGACCTCAGATAGGAAAACCTGCCACACATACTCTCTCTGGCTACTCCTGAAATCTTATTTCAAAAATATCGGGGTTTTGCGAGGTATGTAATACCTGTGGTGAACTTTATTCCTTTTCTTTAGCCTTCCATTTGGGCCCCATCCAGTGTTTCATTCCTCTCCACACATGGATCTCATTAACATAGAAGGGAAAATGGTAAGAGAATGCCTTTTCAAGGGTTTTTCCTGATACAAAGAAGGGACATGAATATAGGCCTTCCTTTGATGATGTGGGCAAGGATTCTGCCCAAATTTGGGGCAGATGTTGCCTGTATGTGCTGATTGCTGATCCATGATTGTCTGTATTTGAGAGGTCTTTGCCTTGGTAAAAAATCTTAAATCTTTTATGTGTATTTGTGACTTAAGATATTCTCACATTCTTGTAATTATTGCTTTTTTTTTTCTTTCTTTTTGTTCTCTCCCCCCCATGCTAATGGTGCTTTATTTTGTCAGGTTTGGGATGAAACTCTTGCCAAATCTGCAGAGGCTTGGGCTGCTACGTGCATTTGGGACCATGGACCTTCCTACTTACTGAGATTCTTGGGCCAGAACCTGTCTGTAAGAACTGGAAGGTAGGCGGATATCCTCCAGAAGAATTATTTTGTCAGTCTTTGTACAGCCTTTGAGATTCAAATCTTAGGTTGATGCAAGAAACATTTAGTGTTTTAGCAATAACTGATATCCATCTATTGTTTACAAAGATTTTTGTTTGACCTGAGTAGTTTCTTATAATAGAATGATAAAATCATAGAATCATTAAGGTTGGAAAAGAGCTCTAAGATCATCTAGTCCAACCATCCACCTACCACCAATCTTGCCTACTAAACCACGTCACTTAGTTTCCCATCTACATGTTTCTTAAACACCTCCAGTGTTGGTGACTCAGCCTATCCCATTCCAGTGCCTTATCACTCTTTTGGAGAAGTTTTTTCCAATATCCAACCTTAATGCTATGCCCATAGTGATGTACTGAGAAATGTGTTTTTAGGTGTCTTGAATCACAGCAGTGATAAGCAGAAAATTCCAAAATATCTGAAGTGATATATTCCCTTCTGTCTTTAAACAAACATAGGTATCGATCTATTCTCCAGTTGGTAAAGCCGTGGTACGATGAAGTGAAGGATTATGCTTTTCCTTATCCTCAGGACTGCAACCCCAGGTGCCCCATGCGATGCTATGGACCCATGTGCACCCATTACACACAGGTTATATACATTGCATTCTTCTATTCAAAATCTACTGTCCAAAGCTTGGCTTTTCTGTGATTTATTTATAGCTATTTTTCATATAAATGTGTATATAAAAATATATTTCTTTTTAATTTGGACTTCACCAATAATGAATATTTATTCAGATGGTTTGGGCCACTTCCAATCGTATAGGCTGCGCAATCCACACATGCCACAATATGAACGTCTGGGGATCTGTTTGGCGACGAGCTGTTTACTTGGTATGCAACTATGCCCCAAAGTGAGTTACTTTCTTTTCATATTGTTTATTTTTATACTGCTTGCATGTTTGGATCCTCTCTTATGCTTACACCCTTTTATGCATCTTGACCTTTATTTGTGCTTTTTCTGCATGCTGCTCATTCATGCTGACATCATATCTGAATATATTGCACGTGCTTGACTTTAGTACACAGAAGAAAAAAGAAATCCCTTGATGTGTTTGGAATGAAACGAAAAAGATATTTTCTATTGTTATTTCTTTGTCCTCCTCCTATGTGTTAGATCTGCTTTAGTTTTAGCTCCTTATTACTTCAATCTGTTATGTATACTCATGGTGAACTAGACTTCCTCAGATAAGCTACTACGCTGTAGGTAAGACTGAACCAAAACTGTTGCCCACAATTACCTTTTCTTATCACCATGCTGCTTAAGGGCAGCCCAAGCATAGATTTCTTATAAAATCCTTTCGCCTAAGCCCAGTGTAGTCCTTTTACCAAAGTTTAGTGTCTGCAAATATCATCTTGCCTTCCAAATTTGAGTCCATTAGAGTATGCATCATACACAACTATGGATAGCCTTTATATCAGACAACTGTGCGGTGACCTATGTAAAACTGAAATATAGAAATGATTTTTCACTCGATGTTCCCCTAGGAAACAACTTAAACTCATGTCTAAGTGCAAAATGAACCAATAAATTGTGAATCTGGGAGAGCTTTGACTTGAGCTCTGGTTTGGACCAGTTCTTCAAAAGCATTATGGACAGTGTAAATGGCTGATTTCTCTGACTGTGTAGCATTAGGTAGAGCCATAGTTCCATATAGAAAGCCAAGTATAATTAATTGAGCACATCATCTACAAAATTTTGGTTCAGACTCAGGTCCATATGTGGTAAAGTTTATGCATAAGTATGTTGCCATTGTAGCTGTTACATGTGTAAAATATTTCTTTCAAGATTTTAAAGATTTCTCAACATGAAAGAAGCTAACATTTAGTAAAAAAAAATGACAAAAAAAACCCCAGCACCCTTTAATTTTGGAAATTAAGATTTCTTCATACATTTATCTTTAATAGGAAAGACTGGTAAGAACTGAATGTGAGGGGTATCAGGCAGAAAAAAAACTGAACCTGATGTTTAGCTCCATAACCTGGAAAAAATGAAATCAGATTTTATAAAAGAAAGCTAGCTACTATTTCTATCTTCTCAGCCTAAAAATCCCAGTGTATTTCTCAAAAGGCAAAGAAAAGCGTGGAGTTACAAGCTTTTTCTCTGGAGGAGATTTTTAGCAGATCTTTGTTTCTTAGGTAGTAGGATCAGGATTTTCATACCTACTTTATGCACAGTCGAAAACAAAGGATACTGAAAAGGATACTGAATAAATTTGTCTAATTTAAGGTTATATTCTTAATTCTTAAGAATTAATAAATATTAGTTTAAGGACAGTGGACTTAATGTCCTTGGGAAGACATGCAGAAGTCTCTGTTAATCAGTAAAGGCTCTGTCCCTCTGAATACGTCAGAAGCTTTTCTAAAGCAGAAGAGGCTGAATATTACAGCCTTCTAAGTTACTAGAATTGGAATCTGGAAAAGATTTGGGATTTAGAATTCCAATAATTTTCTCTAATACTAAGTCATAATGCTGAAAAATATATGTGCTTCTGAAATTAGAAGAAAAAAGGTTTACGAGGATAATTACACGGTTTACAAAGGCCCTGCACCTAGTTAACTAATATGAACTCATAAAAATCAGTTGTGCATTGTACAGAAAATGAAATAGAAATCATTTTTCAGAAAACCTCTTCCTGGATTTCCATATCTGTTATCAAACTGAATGTATTTCCTGAGCACTCAGTCTGCTGTACCCATTTGGAACAGAAGTAGGAATGAGCAAATTATTTGAGAGATTCCTGCTTTCTTCCAAGGTACAAACCAGACCAGGGCTTTTGATGCAGTGTTATTGGCCGGAAGGTGGAGAATGAGAAAATGTTTTATAAATAATTTCATTACTCAGTGCTATAACAGTGCTATATCACATGCAAACTAGGAAAGATCTCTGTTGAGTGAAGTGTAACAGTTAAACGGAAACCTAATTTTAACTTTCTGCTGACATCACAATCATTGCACATATCTCTATAAGTCTGGAGATTTATATAAGCACCCAAAAGTCTGGGTAGGTTTTTCAGACATACCTAGATTTTTCAGTTACCATTTTTACCCTTTCTTCCTTACGGCTCTCTCACAAGCAGTACATCTCTATTCACCAAATGGGAGTCCTTAACTTCCCATTAATACTTGAAATCACTAAAAATGCCGACATAAAGTTATTTCTATTACATTGCAGTAATTAATACTTTTCATCTTCTCTTTGCCTCCAACTGTGAATTCAGCCTCAGATCAATGCGGATCCAGGGCAGTGAAACCTGATACTGATTCATTCAGTTCATCTTTCCACCTGTGAACAATAAGCTTTTAGATAACTGCCAGACAAAATATTCTCAAGGAAAATGTTGCCATCTGTACTTGTGTTGCTTATTTCCCTCAAAGTCTTCTGGTTGAATAGCTGGAATATCCCAGTCCTGGAGATTCACAAGTCACTTGTTTGTCATGTATTCACTGCAGACATATAAAGGATATGGGACAGACCACTGGTCTGGGACAATATGGTCGTACTCCTTGTCTTTTTTAAATCAGTAGATTGATGTTTGCCAGTAACCTCCAGAAATATATTAATGCATGTTTTCAGTAATGGTAAATTTATGAGATATCACTAAAAACATTCACTTAATCACCCAGAAGATACCATTAATGAATATTTTTTCCTCCATTCTCAAAATGCTAAGTATTCTGTTTTCTTTCTCTAATTTTATTTTTCAGGGGAAACTGGATTGGAGAGGCACCATATAAAGTAGGAGTCCCGTGTTCTGCTTGCCCTCCAAGCTATGGAGGTTCTTGTACCGACAATCTTTGTTTCCCAGGAGTAACATCAAACTACTTATATTGGTTTAAATAAGTTAGTGTTTACATTATTTTTAAAAAACTTGGATGAGTAACAAGAAGCTTGTATATTGAATTTTGCACATATTTTATAGAGAGAGATATTGTAATAATACTCCAATGTTTTCTTTTTGTATGCTTTTGTATAATTAGCTTCCAAAGTATAGTGTAATTAGTTGTTAACTCTTCGGGATTTATGACTCACATTAGCCCTTTTAGATTAATATTCTGTAAAGAGGAGCAAACTCATTTTCACTTTAGCAAGTGTAGCTTCCTGAAAATAAGGTTTATTAAAAGCACATGAAAAGGTACTGTCAATTTATACCTAAAATATGCTGTCCTTTAAAAAATTATATATTTTGAAAGAGAAGGATCATTGTTTAATACTGTGCTTTAAAAATGGAGACATGTAAAGCAATAATTCTTTGTCACACTGCCAGTGGTTCCCCCCATTTATACCTGTGCTTTCATCTGCAGTGTCAGTGGGACTGTGCAGAGGAAAACATATCTGCAAGAGAAACTGCAGGATATTACCTACCTCATGCACAACATTAATTCATTTATGGTGTTTCAAGAGTTCAGCACACGGCTGCTGCTATCATCAATGATGCCTGTGTGCAGACAAAAAATTTAGAATAAGAAACCATGTGGGCCAAGATGCAGTGGCTGTCAATCATGTGCCTAAAACCTGATGTAGATAGAAAGCTACATCATTTTGTATATACTGATGTAATCAACACAGCCAAACTTTGTATTGCTGTGTTTCTGAGCACAGTCATGGAGGTATAAATGTGCTTTGTCACAATATATTTTTTCCTGTTCTGAAGTAAAGAAATTAATTGATACAAAGCAATGCATATCAGTAAATGACATACATACGACATCTTTCAAACTACTATCTTACCAGTATATCTGCTGTTCCCGACTGAATCTCATCCACTTGAAAATTTCAAGAATTCGAGCCTAAATTAGGTAAGAGGATTTCCAAGTAAAATATTAAAAATTCATCAGGCAACTTTAACACCTTACTTCTTCATACAGATTAGCAGTGAAGATTCCAAATTTCTAAAGCAATGAACAATGTCCTTTAAAATATATTTCACTATTTCCCGAAAGTATCTGTATGAGTTATTAAAAGACAAATTATTCATATCTTTCCTTTCAAAATCTGAACTGAATGCATAGTATATACTCTGAGAGTACATTTCAAGCTAGGATATTGCACAATTAGTTTTCTTCAAAACCAGATTGTAGAAAGAAAGAAATCCAGTGTCTATCACAACTATTACATTATTGAAATAGCCTAGAGTTATGTCGTTATATTACAATCCTTTTGAGGGTGTTTGTCTGAGACAGTCTGTCATCCAGTGAAGTACCATGGTGGTGCTATATAAAAAAAGTTGGAATTGTTCACATTAGCTGTTCTTTTTCTGCATCAAGACACATGTGGAGGGACTGAACTGTACAGCTTGCTAAATATAACAGCCCCTCTTCATTTGTCCTCAGAGAATATCAGCAACTGATCTGTGACTGTTCAGATATTTCTGGTTAATGACGTTCCTCCATGTGACTGGAAAATAGCTAGATAAGTACATTGTCTTAAATGCTGTCCGTGTTTTGAAGGAACAAAATTTGTAATATTCTACCTTTATCCACACAATTACAATGTATATGGTTTTCCTTCTGGTTTCAAGGGATTCTGGGTTCAGAAGTGCAAGATCAGTCAAATACTTTGACTAAAATTCTGTTTTGGAAGTGAAATATAACCATGTACACATGTACTTATGTATACTTGCTTATGTACATACAGAAAGAACTTTATGAGACAAAACTACTAGGTGGGTCACCAGCCCTCAGCTAGCACAGTACTTGACAAAGATGCAAGAGACAGATACATTTTTGTTTCAAATTAGAATTCTTCTCAAGAAGTAAAGACAGCACAGCTAAAACAGTGCACTTGGACATTTTCATGTTAAAAATACAAGACAGGAAGCAGAGCATAAGCAAAAGTTCTGGTTACCCCATGGAACCTATAGCAGAAGGTGTATTGACAAATGACTATGCACTTTGGAACTTGCAACTTGTATGTTATATGGTACACTTTCCAAACAGGACTAGGCATTGTAAATTAATTTATAATTCTGTAATTCAGCTGAAATTATTATAACGGGTATATATGTTATTGTATCTGTTACTTTTTAAGTTGCTACAAATACCTTAATTTTGTGAAATATCTTGTTTTTTGTGGATATAGAAAACTTTGCTTTTAGCAAACAGGTATGCAGGTGTTCCACAACATCCCATAATGGTGCTAGGAATTAACTACTCACACTGCAATTGTTAACAGCAAAAAATGACCTGGGAATAAGCTATTTCATACGAGCAGCTCCTGATAAAACCAGCCACTAGCACTCAAGTATTAGCTGAATATTTTGAATGGAGATGACTGCAGTGAATCAGGTGTTTGATTATGATGCAAAATTTGTCCTTCCACTTTATTTTATAAGTAGTTTACAGAAAGCCTTTCTGTATTCCTAGCTGAACCTCCCCATTTTCTATCGTATCTTTGTCTTGGGTTGGATAATGACAATGTCAGGAAAGATCTACTTTGATTGCCAGCATCACAGTTGCCTGACTGATTATCTGGCACAAAGTGGAGCTGGAAAAAAAAAGTACTGAAATGTGCTAAGACTTCAGATGTCTTCAGCAGCGTGTCTGCTATGATATGAATTGAGGAAAGCTCTAGATGAGTTCAAGGTTACACTGAGGCAAACTAACCCCATTTGCTATTCTCACAGCATATTTGCACTTCTTCCAAGCAGAGTAGTGTGCCTTTAAAAACAGTCTGGCTGTTGGAGAAATTAGCTCAGACTTTTGTTCTGTTCTAAATACAAAATTATGAAAGTATACACAAACTAGAATAAGGTTAAAATATTTATTCTCAAAATACTGTGAGAGGTAGAAGAGTAAAAATGGGGTAGTGGATATCATGAACTACTGAGTGCAGCTTTTTATATGATTATATTCCTTGTGATATTTTTTGCCTCATTTAAACATCTGAGATGATGGGTAGCAATTGATACCTTCTGGTGCTAACCTATATATTCTGGTGCTGAAGTAATACATTATTTTTGTGGAAAAGTAGATTTACTTCTAATATTACCATATACACTCCAGTGTTTCTGAGATCTTTTCCCACTAAGCACATAATTAACCACTGGGATGGATTTGCTTTCAAAGTTCCTTTCTATGGTTGTTTCAGGTTCTAATGAGAATTTTATAAGCATCAGAGAGGGAAATGTATTCCCGTTCAAAACCAAAACAAACAGCATGCTCTTCTCATCACAATGAGGTGCCTGAGGGAAAAAATATGGAGAGAGTAAGACCTCTGACAGCTATGATTTCAGAGTGATGCTGAGCAGATTTGAGTGACTTGAGATTCGAGGAGACCCAACTCCTCTCTCTGGGGTAATTAATGACTTCAGAAAATTCAAGCTTGACCTTGCACACTTAGTCTTGAGAAGCTGTGTGTTCCTCTTCTCTGAGATCAGTTTGTTCCCCTCTGAATTTGAGATGAGCTGGATCAGGTCTCAGTGAAGACTGTGGGAGGCTTTTGCAAGAGTGAGAAAATCTGGTTCCATCTGCAAATATCAAAATGAGACTGTAAGAGCTATCCCTTACAAACACTGGGATAAACCACAGCAATCTGAAGGAGGAAATTTCCCCACAGAAAAAGTGCTCTATACCACAATTAGGATCTAACAGAAATCATATTTATACCAAATGTGTAGATAGGGGGATAGATAGGTAAATGTATGCATTTATATATTACCTTCAGGGATCCAGTTACAAGCATGAATGCCCTCTTGTGGTTTAGAATGCTAATATATATTTGTTTGATTCTGTCTTACTCCAAAAAGGGTTAGGCTTTTTTAAAAAATCAAATCAATCATATATATTTTGTTTGATTGTTCCTTTCCTTTTTAAGTTTATGACCTTGATTTTAAAGATGTGTGACTTTGTCCATTTGCTTTGAAAAAAGAGGTCTATCATATAAATTCTCCAGTTCTCATCTTTATGTCGTTTGTAAATACAGTAGTGAATCAAAATTGCATTGGCTTTTGCTTGCCTACCATACAATGTTCTAAGAGTATAAGGTAAGATAGAGCTATTCAGATGTCTGACAAATTTTTAGATGCACTACTTCAGACGCAGTTCAGAAAATGTAGAGGGTGGGAAGCAGCCTTAATCAGATTCTAAATTCTAGTGATCCTTAACAAAAGTTCCAAATTACAGTTGACATTTTCGCCTAGTTGTTAAATTTTCAAGAAAAAAAAAAAACACGATTTTTTCTTCAAGAATGAAATGATCTCATAGAATTTGAGCACACAGTATTCTGATGCGCTTTTTAGAATGATGCAAAATAGAGAATTCTTGTGCTCTTTCTGTTAGACCACAGTTGGTTTGACGGTCACAAAGAACACAAACTTTCTCATTTGGATTAATAAGAAGAACATTAAATCTCTAACAGTAGTGATCTGAAATAACCACAGACTTCTCAGACTGCTTTGTTTCACTGGAAAATAAAGCAAAAAGCAAGAAAACATAAGAACAGCCCATCTACTTAATTCAAGACAGAAGAAAAGAATCATTACTAATGGTAATTCCAAGATTTTCTTGTTGTGTGACATTCAGTTACTGAGTTTCTCCAAGATATACTTATTTTCTGTTAGAGGAGGAACTTTTGTTCATGTTACAAGGGAATGCAGTTTAAAATTAGGCATAAGATGTAATAGTTACCCCATTCTGCTGCGCTCACCTGATTGCAAAGTGTGAGAGTACCAGACTGAGATTTTTGTGGTGGTTCACTATTATCTTCTGCTGCCAAGAGAGAAAATTCAGAGTGAAAGAGATTTTACTATACTTTAATCATTTGCAGTCTTATCATTTGACCATCAGTCAGAAAATTCTTTTAAAATCCCTTGTACTGACAATCCGTATAAATTATTATTGGGATATTTTGGCCAGCAGGAGAAGAGAGGGAACGTCTCTTAT